TTCTTTTCAATGTATATATACCATGGATCTATTCCAAGAAAATCCTCATATTACATTAAACAATTAGACTAATAATGTGGTCTTATATTAAAGTCAATTTGAAGTTCTTGACCCATTGTTATCAATAAGCTTTCATTTTGTAAATTTCTGTCAATAGGGGCAAGTTGATTAAACAACATTTATTTTATTAATCTTCTATATTACAAATACATTAGAATTAGAATAACTGAATTCTTCCAATTAGTTCCTATAATACTACTGGATAAAAGGTATCTTACAAGGCCTGTACATCTAAAAAAGAAAATATTTTCCAGATTCTATAATAATAAATTTGAGATTCATACATAAATAAGGCATATTATAACCTCACATACCCAGAGCTTCCATATCAACATTCTTCCATAAAATAAACATGCTGCATGTCTCTATCAGTAAATATTTTAATATTTATAATACTATATGTCAACGATGCCTCTATTGCAGATATGTTTGATTATCTCAAAGTGTCTGGATAATGAGGCTACCTTGTGCCTTTCTTCAATATGTATGTATAAACAATGGGAAGATTTATTCCTAAATGAATGTAATTTAGAAAGATAAGAATTTTTGAAATAACAATTTATATAATTTTACTTTAAAAACTACATAATGTAGGTTATTATACCTATAGATCATTGTCTCTGATTTCAGCTTAGTACAGGAAGAGCCATATTTATCCTTACCCCATTAAACTAAGGAGGTTGATCCTGAAAAAAAATATTAGCCACCTTTTCTAATTTCATTGTAAGGTAGGCTGGATAATAATTTTGAAGATCTGCCTTTCTGACCATCAATTATAAATATTTATTTACATGATACAGCCTTTTGCGTGTAATTTTTTTTCTAATTGTCTGGATTTGTGAATTAATTACATTCTCAAAATGTAAGACAGTTAAGAGATATATGTCTATTTCACATTTCCCTTTTCTCTAACCTGAAATGCTCATACTGTTTTAGACACATGGCCAGGTATAACTGTTTACCACACCTACAATTTTAGAATTTTAAAGAACTTACTGATATCAAGAAGGCTGCACTGCCCTTGTAAAATAAAATTGTATACTTTGTAACCATGCAATCCTGCCATAGGTCAAAAACAAAAAGTCTCACCCTCTTTTCAAATATTTTAAATAAACAGAATTGTTCAGAAGTGAGCCAGAGAATTGCCTTGGTGTGAGACAAATGTATATATCTGTAAGACTGCGTTTTTATTTAAGGCATTATGTTATTTTAAAAATTATTAATAAATTTTTAACTATATCATTATTGGTTTATCCTAACTCTTTCTAAATTCCTCTTGGAATCTACTGCAAACTGACCAATTTGCCTGATATTGTCATTATTTATAAATGTACTCATCCCAATCTTATCTATAATAGCCCCGTCAATGCAAAATGCAAACAGATTTAGTCTTAATTTGCTACCACCAAAAATGTAGCTATTGCAGGTAAAGGGCAGTTCAACACTCACAACAAAGCACAGTAACAGTTGCATAATACTCAAGATCAGAAAAATACATTACTTAATCAGTTTTATATATACATATAGTATATTACAAACAATAAACAATTTGAGATAAATCAGAATAAGATATCAAGAATCTTGATTTATGAGAACTCTTTCCATATTTTTCTATTAAAAATGCTAAGGGCTAAATTTAAAAACTGAACCTAAAATCTCTACTAAGCAACAATCTTCCCCATTTTACAGAATATATATTTTAAAATAGCTATACTGCAGGAAAATATGCTCAATTGTACATGCCTATATATATAAACAAGCAAATTTTCTACATGGAACATATCATGTGCCCATCAAGATGCCTACAATTCTAAATGACAATCATTGCATTAAGAGAAAAGTATGTGAAAGATGCGACATATAAGAATATAAAAGTGAAAGGGGCAGGAAAAAATTAAAATTCAATAGTATTTATCTTTAAATGGATGAATTATGCACCCATAATTTGAAGAGAGCTGTAATGAGTTAAGTTACAAGAAGCCAGACTCCAATTGGGATTTCAAAAAGAAATCCTAAGAGCAAAAAATATCAAATCATGGAACCAGTTATTCAGTTAAGAAGAGTCTCCCTTCACAACATACGTTCAAGCAAAAGAAAGTCATCTCTCAGAGATTGGGAATAATAGAGAAAAAGCCACCTTCTAACTCTATAAAGAATATGAAATGTATTTTAATATTACTTTGATAGAATTATTACATAAGAAATAGTCCTACCTATATGTTCCTATATTTTAAGACTTCGGAAATGCTCGTTTAAAGGATGTGAATACTCTACTAATAATTTAAGAACCCAACAAAAACAGACTTAAACTTTATATAGTAAATCTGTTATCAGTTCTTGTTCTAGATTAGTTAAATGCAGGGCTTTTTTTTTGTCATAGAACACCCAGAACGGAGTTCCGGCACTTTTTTGGGATGGAGCCTTGTAGGGTAGGCAAGGCGGGTTGTATGACATGTGTGAGTTCCAGCACCTTTTTTTTAGAAAAAAAGCACTGGTTAAATGTGTAGATTTAACATTCTTATCTGTAGCATTGTAAGAAACCCAGTCCTATCTGGTTTGGTTCTGTTTCCAAATACATTTTATCGTCATTTAAAATAACTAATGTATATATTCTATGTTGATAATTGAGGTAAGTAAGGTATCAGTCAGTATTGGACTTCTTTCAATTTGCCAAAGAACATAAGAAGAACTTAGCTGGATCAAGACCAAAGGCCTATTTCGGCTAGCATTCTGTTTCCATATTGACCAATCAGATGTCTATGAAGATCGTAACCAGTAAGATATCAGCACAACAGTGTCTTCTTTCTTTGATTGCCTAGCAATTTGTATGGTGAGACACAATGCCAGAAAATGAAAGTAATAAATAGCCATTATATATAATAGTTACTGATAAATGTAAATTCCATGAATATATGGAGTCTTTTCTGAAGCCATTCAGGTGGGCAAGGTTCAATACAAAAATCATATTTAACAATATGTTGTAAGAAAGGTAAATCCTTATTTGTCCAAGGTCTGAGAATTCTGCTTCATTGATTAACTGGATAATCATGGATTGTACTTTTATACCAGGAGGGAGAAAAAAAACGTATTTTCCATTGTCTTTCTACCATGCAATATTTCTATTGTGACTTGTCTTAATATTTTTCTTACTTAAAAAGTCCTGTTATAAATATGTAAAACTGTAAAAGACACTAGCGCTGTATAGACAACTAGCTGATTATAAAAAGCTCTGCAAAGAGACCATCTTTATGTTTGTTCTGAATAATTTACCTTGATACCTGAAGTGGCACATAACCATCCTAACTAATACTGGAGATAATATGTAATCATGAATACTGAATGGTGGACACCAATAACTATAGCCTATGCAAATGTGACCTGCAGCTCATGAAAGATTATGCCTGTTAATAAAATAGCTTACCACACTGACCTTTACAGAAAAAGACAAAACTGGAAGAGGGCACTGAAGGAAAAATAGGCTGAAAGAAAGAGGAAAAACATTCCCCACAGCCTCACAATTGGAATTTCCAAAAGAAAGATAAATCCAAATCAAATAAAGCAGAGAATGTCTGCTTCAAGGGGGAAAAAGTGTTCTGTAGAAAAAAGGTACATATTCTAGTCAGAATTTGCTTCAGACTTTTTTTTTTTTTACACCCAGCTGTGTTAAGGCACCCATGCTACTGTTAGTTCTCTGTACAAAATAGCATGTGCTGTGTAATTTCAGCACATTCAGGCTGATTAGGAAGATGTTTTTGGTAACTTATGCCATAAATCACATCGACCCCTGTCACAGGACAAAACATTCATTTGTAGCCGACTAATCTTATCTTAAGCGCTGTCTGAAATGCAGTGTTTTCTTTAGTAGTTCTCGGGGCTTTCTTCTATAGCTGCTTCTGGAAGTTTGACTTCTTTCTGATAAAATTGGGTTTATTTCAATTGTTTTCGATTTTAACTTTGTATTTTTTTTTTAGCTTTTGAACTCCAGAAGGACTTGGGGGCCCCTTCTCTGCCAGGCATCAGGGCTAGCAAGAGGACCCCAGAGGAGGCGCTGCCTGGAAGGAGAAAGTGGGGTTTGGGCGGAAAGAAAGGAAGGCTTAAGATTCCCCGGCCTGAAGCTTCCACAGCAAAAAAATATCAATATCAAAGCAGCAACCCACAGAAACCAATATTGGCAATAATATCTCTGTCAACCCCCGGAATGTGCGCTCGCATCGACGCCCTTTGAAAAGCTTAACCCAGGGGTAGGCAACCTTGGCTCTTTTATGACTCGTGGACTTCAACTCCCAGAATTCCTGAGCCAGAACGGCTCAGCTTAGAAACTCTCCCTTTCCCCTCAGCATAGCTGGCTGTGGAATTCTGGGAGTTGAAGTCCCCGAGTCATAAAAGAGCCAAGGTTGCCTACCCCTGGCTTAACCGATACCCCAGATTCGGGCTAACAAACAGCCGCGGCACGAGCGCGGCCACGCCCCCGTTTCCTCAGCTTGTCTCCTCACCGCCGGTCCAGATCAGTGTTTCTCAACCTTGACAATTTTAAGGCATGTGGACTTCAACTCCCAGAATTCCACAGCCAGCATAGCTGGCTGTGGAATTCTGGGAGTTGACGTCCACATGCCTTAAAATTGTCAAGGTTGAGAAACACTGGTCCAGATGAGGAGGAGGCCCGCCCACCTTCTCCTGCAATCCCCGCCCCACGCGCCTCCTCGCCTCAAGGTAACGCGCGTGCACCGCCCCCTCACCGAGAGTGGGCGGCGCGCGCCCTCCTTCTCTGGCGACCACGCCCACCCACCCACCCCTCTATGCCCCGCCTCAGGTGAGCTTCCTCAGACTCCGCCCCAGCGTCCCGTTTCGAGTTTCGTCCCGGAAGCCAGAGGGGGGCGGAGCCAGGTCAACGAGGCCGGTGGTCTCGCTTCGGGAGCAGTGTGGCGGCGGCGGCGAGGAGGATGAGGGGAAGCGCTTCGTGGTCCTTCGTGCTCTTGGCGGGGCTGCTCCCTGGGCTCTCAGGGCTGAGGCTTCTCCTCAGCGCCCCGCCGCTTTTCAACTGTTCCCAGCCGGTAAGTGGGGCCCGGACGGGCGCACAGCGTGGTAGTGCGCGGGCTGCCTGATGCGCGTGGGAAGCAGGGCGGAGGGACAGACACGCGTCTTTCTTCCCAAGCGTAACTCACTGTATTCGGGAGAGACACGTGTGTGTTAAGCAGCCTTTCCTACCTTGGGCCTGCCGGATGATGTGAACATTTGGGAGTCGCCCGTTTGGGGACGTTGAACGTGCGAACGGATTCTGCCTTGAACTCCCCTTGAGAAACTTTAGGCAAGATTCTCGGTCCCCGATCGCCTCTTTCTGCGTTAGTTGCAGGTTAGAGTACCAGTTTTATTTCTGAAGCTTTTTGTGGATCGGGGTGTATCTGATCTTTTCCAGGTGTCCAAAAAGATCCCGATCTTGCAGTTTTGATCTTTGCATTTTGTTTTTCAGTCTATTTTCCTATTAGCATAACCACCATAGAACGAGGGTGTAAATAAATATTAAAGTAGCTTTGGCTACTTTAATATTTATACTTTAAGCATGGCTGACTGGGGAATTTTGGGAGTTGAAGTCCACAGGTCTTAAAGCTGCCAAGATTGGACACCTGTGCCATAGAAGGTGTTGTTATTTCTCTGATTTTGGCCATATGTGTTGTTGGAATCATAGAGCTGGAAGGGAAATTACAGGTCATCTGGTCCAACCCTTTATAAGATTCACAAGAACACTTGTGGCAGATGACCATCCAGGTGCTAAAGACCTCCAATGAAAGTAATGAATGAAAACTCACTGCCTGTTGCTGACTGTTGCACTGGCTCCCAGCTAAAGCACTCCGGAAGTGCGTCCTAATGTTTAGCTTGAAGCTGCTTCCTTTGCAGTTTTAACCCATTAGTTCAGTGGTTCTCAACCTTTTTAATGCCGCGACCCCAACCGGTCGTAAGTCGAGGACTAAGCCGGTCGTAAGTCGAGGACTAAGCCGGTCGTAAGTCGAGGACTACCCAACCGGTCGTAAGTCGAGGACTTTCCCTGCCCGGGAGCGCCACGCATGCGTGGTTCTTCCCCCTGCGCCAGCCGAGGCGTAGCTGGCAAGCGGCAGAGACGGAGCAGCCGACCACCAGCTGGCCCAGCCCAAGGGAGGTAAGGCACCTGCTGGAAAAGGGGAAAAAAATGGCAGACAAAAAAAATGGACAAAAAAATGGCAGACAGCCTTGCTTGGCGACCCCCATGAAATGGTCGATCGACCCCAAATGGGGTCCCGACCTACAGGTTGAGAACCACTGCATTAGTTGATATTGGTCTATGACCACAATAAACATTTAATTTGGTAATTTCTTAGCTCTATTCTGGAGCGATAAAGAAATCTATTCCCTCCCCTATAGCCCCTCAAGTATTTGAAGATTGCTATCTGATGTCTCTTCAGTCAAATAATGAACAGATCCTTTTAGGGTTCCTATTCATGCAGTTATCAGACCCTCATCCTTAGATTCAGTCCTTTGAACTTGCTTCAGTTATTACTTGTTTGTTAAGCTACAGTATCCAGGGTTGGTGTCCGGTATTTCCAATTGGGTCTGATCAGGGAATGATTATTACCTGGACTTTGTGTTCCTGTTAATTGCATCCCAAGATTGTATTTGCTTTTTTAGCAGCTGTATCACAGCACAGCATATTGTGTATTCCCTAGGTAAAGAGATGTATTAAAATATACTCTTGTTCACCATATTTTTCACGGAAGAAAATATTTTGACTGAAAGTGAATTTCTTTACATTTTATATCAATTTTTTTATCTCATAGTAACTTCTAATACAAAAATACAAGCAATAGCATTTCAAAAAATTAATATAAACAAGTATCCAGCATACATTCAGTGCACATGTGTTCAGTAAATGCAAATAAAATTAATCAGCAATTAGATTATGTAAGAGTCATCAGAAACAAACCATGTATATATTTGTTTTATTTTGATTAGGGATCATTGTGCAGGTAATCTTTGACTTATGACCACAACTGAGCCCAAATTTCTATTGCTAAATGATACATTTGTTAAGTGAGTTTTGCCCCATTTCATGATCTTTCTTGCCACCGTTGTTAAGTGAATCACTGCACCTGTTAAATTAGTAACACGGTTGTTAAGTGAATTTGGCTCCCTCATTGACTTTGCTTGTCAGAAGGTCGCAAAAGGTGATCACATGACCCCCGGACACTGCAACCAACATAAATATGGATCAGTTGCCAAATGTCTGAATTTTGATCACATGACCATGGGGATGCTGTACAAGGTTGTAAGTGTGAAAAACGGTTATAAGTCACTTTTTTCAGTGCTCTTGTAACTTTGAACAGTTGAAGTTGTAAGTCGAGGATATCTGTATAGCCATGCCCTGAAGAGGTTAAGCTCTAATAATACAGCTGAAATGTACTTCAGATGTTATATTCAGTTTCTTGCTTTACATAGTCCTCATGTTTTCACTAATTCTGCATTAATTGTTTCTTTAAAAGATTTATATGGCCACCTATCTTGTAGCACACAATTCTGGATGGCTATCAGCAGTAATAAAAACACAAACATTACAACTACAGTAATTCAAAAAGAAAAAGTGAGAAAAATCAAGAAAAACCAGGTGCCCGGTCCATAAATATACCCATTCATCTCTTCAATCCCTGAGCTCCAACATTAGTATCTCAATGCCTGAGGGGAAAGCCATTACTGATAAGTTCATATTTTTATAGCATTCTTGGAATGATAGTTTGAATGTTAAAACTATAACAATATTACCAAATAAAGCATTTGTATATTTATGTTTGCTTCTTTTTTATTTAAAAAAATCTGCACCCATCCACATATATAAACATTACCAGCAACTATTACTTAATTCCTGAATGGATGCCAGCAATTACATTTTTTAAATGAAGTCTGTTTTCCACAGACTTCCACAGTCTAAAAGATTTTTTTTAAAAAAAAAAGCAAAAGAGGGTTATGAGGCAGGGGGAGAGGCCTTGCAAAGCCTGGGTCAGCTTGAAAGAAAGAAAGATGGCTTTACTTAGCCAATTATCTTCTTTTAACTCTCAGATCTGTGTAGCAAAAATTTGGATGATCATTAGTTGGTAGCAAAAAGAAATGCTTGTGCTATGGTAAATCTAGCCCCAACACTACACTTAGGAGTAGTAAAGGAAAAAAAAGTTATAAATAGTCCTCAGCTTACAACCAAAACTGGGATCAGACATTCTGTCACCAAGTAGTGCACTTATTGAGTCGTCACATGACCACACACAATTTTACATCCTTTCTCATTACAGTCATTAAGTGAATCCAGCTTTTCCCCATTGATTTTGCTTGTTACAAGCTAGCTGAGAAAGTCACAGATTGTGATTGTGCGACCTCAGGATATTGCAGCCATTGTAAATACATGCTGGCTGCCAAGTGCCCAAATTGCCATTATGTATCTACAGGGACTGTGCAATAGTTGTAAGTGCAAGGAACAGTTGTAAGTCACTTTTTTGCAGCATTGTCATGTTGGTCATAAGTGGAGGGCTATCTGTACCTAGAATACTGAAAGTGCAACACACACCCAAAAAAGTAAGTCTTGCTTCTAAAATGAGACAAGACTAATTCAAGCAGTTAAAGTTGTTTCACAAAACAACAGTCACACATCTGTTATGAATTGTACAATAGTAGGAAACCAAGATTATTAACTTCCGGATGAGGACATAGTAAATTTCTTAACCAGTGATGATAGTGCAGTTTGTCCATGTTTTTCTTGCATGACCATCTATGTTGAATATACATGATGAAAAGGGAACAATTGTGTCAAGAGAAAATGTATATAGAAAGTAGAGATAGTGATTGTGTGATTGTGACCTTAACGTTTCTTTCTTAACCTCAGTAAGCAGTGTGAACTAGTTAGAGTAATATTGCTTAATGTCATGTTTCCCCAATTACTTCATGATAAATATGTGCATTTATACTTAGTTCCATTGAAATTAATGTCTATAATTAATTTAAATATGTTTAAATAAAAATAAAAGGATTTGATTTAATATTTTAGCAAATATGACTTCAGTATTCACATGAGTACACAGTATGAATTCCAGGTTGCAAGTATTCATTTGTAAGATTGTAAAGTTACTTCCTCCAACATTATGTTTACTCATGTACTGTAAGTTGCCTATTAGTAGCACCTATTAACCAGAATATCAGAATATCATAACCAGTGAATTATTGGAAGAAGCATAAAAACAATAATTTTAATAATGAATGCCTTTCATAATTTTGAGGATAAAAATGTCTAATTACTTTGCTAAATTAAATTATTCCCATATTACATTTAAGTACAGACTAAATTGACTGTTTAGAAGAGCAAATGAAATGTACAGATAGACCACAGCTTATAACCAAAAGTGGGACTGGAATTTCCATCTTAAAGCATTGTGATCATTAAGTTGAGTCAGACCTTATGACAATTTTTACAACAGTTGTTAAGTGAATCCCAAGATTGTTAAGCAAATCAGAGGTCATTAAACAAATCACATAGTTGTTAAGTGAATCCAGTTTTCCCAATGGATTTTTTTGCCAGAAAATTACAAAAGTAGTTCCAAATCATGATCACGGAATGCTGCAACCTTTCATAAATGCGAGAACATTGCCAACAGTCCAAATTGCAATCACATGACAACAAAAGTGGTCATAAGTCACTTTTCAATGAGGCTTCGTACTCATTAAACAAATGGTCATAACTTGAGGACTATCTTTTTAAAATTGATAGTAACTTTAGTTTATTTTTAAGATTTTAACATTTCTTAAAATCTTCCAGAATTTAAATCTAGACAATAAATCTTTTTTAAATAATAGCTTGATCTGCAAATTTCTAAGAATAAAAATAAGCTATAAAACAGGTGGAGGAGATGGGTTCTTAAAGGACTCCTGCTAGAAAAATGTCTTAGATTTTTTAAAGTTATTTTTAAAGATTTCAGAAACTTCAGGAAGATTTAAAGCTTTCCTATATGACTCGATCTAATGCAGTACAATAGCTTCATTTTCTATTATTTGAATGTCATAGTCGACCTGATGGTGTTTTATTTGATCTTTATAAAATATGTTTATAATTCATCTTTAAATATTCAACAAGATCATCTACAGCGTACAAGTGCTATGGGAATAGTTCTCTGCCTACTTGTGCTACTGGTAATGGTGGTAAAAGGAACTGAGGGATAAATAAACCACCACTCCAGGAAATGACCCTTCCCAAAAGTAACATATTTAACTTCCCTGCAAACGTGTGACTTCTCCCTATGTTTTTGCATTCCTTAATAAGAATCTTAATACTAAACCAAACGATGATAATATTGCATACCTGTCAGAATTATTATATTTACTGTCAAAGATGTTCTCTATAAACATAAAAATCAAGCTGCACAAAATAACTTGCATGCAAATATAATTTGCAAAAAAATGCATGGAACAAGTATATTGTTTTGCATTGCTTTTTAAAGAAATATTACTGCCTTTTAGAGCTATAGGAAGGCAGAGAACTACTAGACAGCAACCAAGAGATACAAACTACAGTAGTCTACACCTCCATTTAATGGTCAGAGGTAGTTTTTAAGTCTTGAAATGTTAGCCCTAAAATATTTGATTCTAAAACTCTATAATTTGATTCTAACTTTGAGAATTTTATATAGTGTAGAATTCTAGGAAGAATCTAGTATAAGCATAAGTCACTGGGAACTTCAGAATATAGATAAAAGCATGTAAGAACACTAGTGTGCTTGGTGTGTATAAACTGTAAGTTCTTTTATTATTGTTTATCTGCCAAGCCTGTCCTAAAACAGATTGTGGAGAACATGCATTGACACTTCGCAACCACATACAGAAACTTATACAATTCTTTTTCCTTCCTTCCTTCCTTCCTTCCTTCCTTCCTTCCTTCCTTCCTTCCTTCCTTCCTTCCTTCCTTCCTTCCTTCCTTCCTTCCTTCTTTCTTCTTTCTTCGTTCTTTTGGCTGAAATCGCACAGCAATGATGTGATTAAGGACAAATATGCAAACATCCCTAACCACAGTTTTGGAAAGTTGGGGCAACGTACGGGAAGTATGTGTCAACACAGAACAGTAAAAGTAATAGGACTTCTTTTAAGGTTATAAGCTCTGCAAAAATACTACTCACATGGTAGTAACTGTTTATTTTGAACACACCATGACAGAATGTTATTGGAGACATTATATGATACTTTAGGTTGACCCTCCATGTATCTGTGAATGATTCTTAGTACAGTGTAGAGTTTTCCATCAGATGACATTTGGGAAATTTTGTCAAGAAAGCTAACATTCTCCATGTGAACTAGGATCAAAATAGGATCTTACTCACTTGTAAAAATATGGTGTCCTGGTAACTTTGGGGATTTTTTTTTGTTTTGAAATGGCTGAAATGGCTACGCATAGATTGACTAAATAATCATTTCAGTCACACTGTCAATATTTCCTAAGGATAGAAAAGCTAAAGATTTGAGTACTTTGCATAAAATTACCCTAGGAATTTGGGCAACCATAAGGAGGGATCATCAATATCAAAATGGTGATTGCAACCAAATAATCAAAACCTGATCCTTTTTTAAAGTACCTAGATTTCTTGTGTTTATCATTCTTTGTTCGTATGATAAGACATTCTGCTTACTTTTCTGCTACTTATTTGAACCTTTAGGATTTCAAAGGGGAAGATGTCACTCTAATCTGTAAAAAAAATTACTTTCAATAAACAGTCGAATCATAGAGAAATAGAATTAACAGGAAAATAAATGTCAACCATTTTTATCTTTGTGATCTATGTTAACTGTTCTGCCTATTTTTATAGGAGTATTTGCATATAAACAAGATAAAACTGTATTTCCTTTTTTAATAATGATTCAGAAACACAGCTTTTTACATTTGTTTCTCAGAATACATTTATAATCACATCTATGACAAAAGAAAAAATACATTTTTTTAAACACATTAAAGTGGTTGCAGGTGAAAAATCATTTAATAAATACCCAGCTTAGTAAACTAATAAATGTCTGTCAAGCTTAGTATCAGTTAAATGGGGGGTTTTTTGAGTCGAAAATATACATGAGAAAAACTACTGATAAAATTTAATACCCATTTTGAGGTGAAGCAACATTCATGATCTGTATGATTCTTAAGACTATTTTAGTAACATATTATGTTCTCTCCTGTAGGGTTTACGCTGCCTTGTGCGAAACAGTAAGTGCACTTTTTTTGGTTTCCCCCTTAATTAATTTTGCTTATTTTAGAACTGTAATACTAACTCTGTTCTGTCCAACATTTTATAGGATTGATGTTTCAGTAGGAGGTATGTTAGTGTAAGGCAGTGATGGCGAACCTTTTAGAGACCGAGTGCCCAAACTGCAACCCAAAACCCATTTATGCATCGTCAGGTGCCGGGTGGCTGTGGCCATTGGGTGGGTGTGGCCATTGGGTAGGTGTGACCATTGGGTGGGCGTGGCTGCGGTGGTAACGGCAGACTGGGTGGGACTAAAACGTTCAATCAATCAATTCCAACTTTGCAAGATCTTTTTTTCCCGCAAGAAGTTGAAATTGACTGATTGATTGAACCTTTTTTTTGTTTTGCACATGGAGGCAGAGGCTTAAAGCAAAAAGGTTTTATAAAACCCAGCTGAAGGCGTAGGACTGGGGCGACAGCACGCGTGCCCACAGAGAGGACTCTGAGTGCCGCCTCTGGCACCCGTGCCATAGGTTCGCCACCACTGGTGTAAGGTATCTATATCTCATGTTCAGTTCAAATGAGTTCAGGGCCAACATAATTTGCATATGAAAATATATGAATATTCACATCCCCAACCACCTCTGATGTCACTCCAAACATTTGTTATGCACACATCTACAAATATATTAAACAAAGAAGAGAATATCTCACATGTGTCTTCCTGCTTAATGTTAACCACTCACTAGACATTCTATTTATTTTCATGTGTGCTTTATTTTTCTCATACATTACTTTTACTCTATAATAATAATAATAATAATAATAATAAATTTAATTTATATGCCGCCCTTCTCCCAACGGGACTCAGGGCGGCGCACAACATATTTAAAACAAAACATAAATACATTCCCCCCCGATAAAACCGAATTAAATCAAATTTTAAAGTTGTGTCTCTGTCAAATTGTTAAAAGATAAACCCCAAATAAAATCCTCCCTAG